TTATGAATGGATCTCTTGTTAAATTATTTTCTGCCGTGATCAAGGCCGTGATTTGGTAGTATTTTTTAGTATTTTTTAGCTGTTTTGTTGTAGAATATTTTTTTTCGGCTTTATCGTTGTGAATAGTTTTTTGTTGGTTTGATGTGAATGTATTTGATTTATTGTGTGTACCTATCATTTTGTTAATTTTTTCTTTAGTAAAGGATTTGTGCCTTTTTAATTTACCACCCTTTTCTTCTTCTTTGTTTGGCTTTTTCCTTCCGGGATTTTGCCAGCTGACGCCTTGGTCTTTAGCTGGGGAGGGGCGAGATTAGGAGTTCCTTTTGCCGCTCCTTTCTATTGGAATGAACGTTAAATGCTGATATGTGTTTATTGTACTAATATTTATTGATTTTGTAACTTTGTACCATTTCCTTCTTTTTTTAATATAATATTTCGCTACTTCTTATTTTTCAATTAAATTTTTTTTTTAATTTGTTTTATATTTTATATATGACTTCCGCTGCTAACTATATCGCGATTTTGTTTCGGTTGATAAATCTTATAATTAAATCGGTAATTGTTTTATTCGTCTTTTGTAAGACTGTGGCCATATTGAAGGGCCTTTCAATTCCCGCTTTGTGCAGTTTCAAGCAAAGATCCGGGTTTCCCTCTTATAATGGCTGTTAAATGTCTGCGATTCGTAAAATTAAATTTTTTAAAGATTGGTACCTCTGGGAACCCAGCTTGTACCCTCTCGTAAAACTTACCCTTTAACTTAGATATTTCTCTTCGTTCAATATCCCATTTATGTTTAATATCCCGTTTAATAATGGGTAGGAACTCATATGTCTCCATTTTAGTTTCTACTGGGTTGTTGAGGGTAGACCCTAGTTTGGCCATTTGGTCCACGATCTCATTACCCTTGATTCCATTGTGCCCTGGAATCCAGGCCAACCTGAACCCAGCCTCATCAAACAAAAGATTTTTGGTAGCTAAGCGAAGGCGTCGCATTTAGCATTATAGCTATAGTTTGTTAGTTTGGAGATGGCGCTAAGAAAGTCGGACAGAATAACGCATCTGCTCGCCCCCCTCAGCACTACCTCCTCCGCTGCTTTTTTCACCGCAGCAATCTCCGCCGTGCAAATTGGAATCTGACGGTCAGATTCCAATTTGATTCTGACCACAAATTTTATGTTTAAATCTGGACTATACACACCAAAACCCGCTCTGTTTTTGGATTTGGACGCGTCAGTATATACTAAGGAGTGTGTACTATCGCTAACAAAAAAACTCATACAGCTATATTGTGGCTGTGTGAATAAAACTTTTCCGTCAATGTCAAGTTGACATCGAGCTTTGTCACATCCATTATGACTTTTTTAACAACATTTTCAACCAAACAATGCAGACAAACTCTGGCAATCCATTGAAGCCATTTGGAACGAGATAAAGCAAGACGGCGACTTCCATGCTTTGCAGTTTGCGGGCAGTAATTGACAAAAACAGAGGGATGACGAAATATTATTTTTTTTTTCAAACTTCAACCTAACTTTGTATTTAATTTTAGACCTTTCAAATGTGACGTATCATGTTAAAAGCCATAATTACTCCAACGAAATGATAGAAAATCAGGAACACTAGATTTTTAAGCTGTATGAGTTTTTTTTGTTAGCGATAGTATGTCTTATACAGTCGATTTTACTATTAAAGTCTGTGCTGCGTTCCTTGACAAGTCCCAAATTCAGGATCGGTAGTCTGCCTGTCTGCACCTCCAGACCGTACTCAAAGCACGGCAGGAGATCGATGCGGTGAATATGTTCAAAGAATTCTTTGACAATCTTAAGACTCTGACCTCTCGGTAGGCCTCCACCAGGCACAATAATAATAATACTTTATTGATGTTAAAAACACACAGTGTATACATACGTCACAGAAATATAAAAATGTATATCTAAATAAAAAAACACATATTACTTACTAAACAAACAATATTTAGGTACATTTAGTTAAAATATGTTAAAAACTCATTAAATGTATAAAATGCATTCCTTTGCAGCAGGTTCTTGACCTCGGTTTTTAGAGCGTTTATTGATAAAATCTTAATTTCTTCCGAAAATCACTATTTTGGACAAACACATTCAGATTTCTTTTAACATACAGTATATTTTCTAGGATATACAAACAGGGGCATGTCAGTATACCCAGGGAGATAAAAGCTTTTCTACAGTCATCTCTATAGCTCAATCCTGCCAATAATCTTATTGCCCTTCTCTGCAACTTAAAAAGTCTTTCGGCTTCAGCCGCAAGAATAGCATAACAAAGGCAAGAGTACAAATTAGAAAAATACACTGATTTTAGCACTTTAACAGATACACATTTTGACAAACTGCGCAGTGCAAACAGACTTTTGCTTAATTTTTTAGAGACATTTTCTAAAAAGAATTTTATTTGTTTTATCTGCATTAAGCAGAAGTCTGTTTGCACTGAACCAGTTTTCTGCCATCACCTGAGCTTCCTTCAATTTTGACAATGACTCTTCCAGAGTGTTATAACTTACACCTATCGTGGTGTCATCAGCAAAAAGAGTAAACTTTAAACTAGAATCCAGCAATGGCAAGTCATTTATATAAATTAAAAACAAGATAGGTCCCAATATAGAGCCCTGATGAACCCCTATATTCGTGAAACCCTCTCCTGAAACCCCTCCCGAAATTTTTACTACTTGACATCTATTTTCCAGATAAAATTTTAATAAATTAACGCTGTTAATATTAAAACCATAATATTGCAACTTATCCAACAAGATATCATGATTGACACAATCAAAAGCCTTGCTTAAATCACAAAATATTACAGCGTTATGCTGTTTTTTTAAGACTCCAATATGTCAGAAGTTAGATTTAAAATTGCCGACGTTTTACTGATATTTTTTCTAAAACCAAATTGGTTTAAACAGAATAAGTTGTTTTGTTCAAAGAAAGTTGTAATTTTGTTTGCCATGCATTTTTCTATAATTTTAGAAATTACAGGCAGCAGAGATATTGGACGGTAATTTTCAACCAAGTTTTGATCGCCCTTTTTAAAGATTGGCACAACCACGGCTTTCTTTAATATATCTGGAAATATACCCTGCCCAAAACATAAATTAATTAGTTTTGTTAGTGGCACCACTATTAGGTTTTTAAAAGTTTTAATAATGTTTAGGCTAAGACCAAATATATCAGAACTGCATTTGTTTTTAAGGTTGTCGATTATATCTCTAACTTCATTAAATGAGACTTCATCAAAAGAGAATGAAAAATCATGGCAAATTGTTAGATTACCTATTGGATTTATATGGGTCTTTGGAATTTTTTGTGCTAAATTATTAGGTATGTTTACAAAGAAATTATTAACAGCGTCTGGATTAATGTTTACACTGGTGGGTGTATCTTTTTTTCCACTTTTGTTGTGTATAATCTGCCACATACTTTTGGTTGGGTTATAAGATTTATTAATATAGTTATCGTTTGCATTTATTTTAGCTAACCGCTTTAGGGCTAAATATAGACAAGCCATGTCTATATTTAGCCCTAAAGCTCCTATATAACTCATTATTAAGATTGTATTGTTTGCATAGTTCTCCAAGAAATTGCAAATGATCTCTCATATTTTTTAAATTGTTATTAAACCAACCAACAGTATGCGCATGACTAGTGGAAGAGATTCCTGAAAGCCCTTCACAAGTATGTCCATCAGTAAAGAAAATTTATTATTTATATTTGTGTTTAAATTTACAAAATCCCAATTAATATTGGATATCTTATTGTAGAAATAATACAAGCCATACTGAGTGATAGGCCGACATGTTTTTTTTACAGTATTAATTTTATTTGATTGTATTGAAAAGCTTGCCAGTTGCCCCTTATGATCCGAAATATTAGGATCAATTACATAACACTCATAAATGTCAGTATTTGCTCTTAGAAAAACATTATCAAGACAGGCATTATCGCGAGTCGCCTCATTAATAGTCTGAATTAAACCAAAACCTCCAAATAAATCAGCTAGACTAACTGCTTTATCTTGAACCGTATTAAAATGAACATTAAAATCTCCAACAACAACCAAATTTTTGGTGGTTTCAATTTTATTTAAAATAGACTCTAAATTGCTTAAAAAAATGTCAAAAGGACCAGCAGGTGATCTGTAAACTGTTAATACACATAGGTCAAGAGTTTTAACAAAAATACCGCAGTAAAAATGGCTGTTCCACCGCCTGAGCTTTGTACACGGGAGGCATTTTAAGATCCTTTACAGACCTATGGCACTATATGAATATCCGCCTCTCCTATTGGTTTACACATTTTTCGCGCCTCGTTTAAATGCGTGTTTAAGCAGCATGGCATGTAATGTTTTTTCGGATAAGTTTAGTGACTCATAACAAAACTACTTGTATTTATACATGCTTTTACTCGAATTACAACTAAACAGCGATGCAAACATGATTAATATTTGATGCCTGCATTTGATTTATTTGTGAAAATGATTTCAATTAAATAATTTTAGAAAATATAGGCCAGGTTTTTATTAAAGCTAGATTTACGATTTAGTAAAAGAAACAATAATTGTTGTAAGACAGGTATATTTAAATTTGATAGTATGGAAAAATGGACATCTTTTAAAATTAAAAATATGTACTGTAGTAGGCATCTAATTATCTGATATGGCTTAAAGTAATCAAATTTACGCTAAATTATTATTTGAAACCAAAATAATTCAATAATACACATTAAATCTTTAAATTCATAATTTATTCAATGAACCACATAGCATACCCCACAGATCACACATAAATACCTAAAATATGTTTCAGTTAAATTAAATGTATACATTTGACTTTCAAAAGAGCAAAAAACGTATTTGAAAGACAATACAAAAATAGAAATCTAAGTAAATTATAGGTAAGTACAATAGAATCAGGCAAAAAAGAAACTCATTTTGAAATTTTAAAAGGTGACTTTTTTCATTGCTAAAACCTAATGATTGTAACCATGCGATAAAGCATTAGGTTTATTTAATTTAATATTTTGTGCTAAATTTCGTTTGCGTTTTTTGATCACTTTTTCATCTTTAAACTTTCTTCCAGAGGGCAGTCTTTTACTTTCTCTGGTAACTCCTGCTGCTCTTCGAGATATTGATGTAGGTTGAACTTTAATTGTTGCGTTTCTTCTTCTAAGTGGTACAGAATTACCAGCGGTGTGTAAAAAAGATTCCCATTGCCCCTCAGATTTGATAGCTTTTAATCTGTCATTTAATATTCTCAAACCATTAGAGGAAGAACCAAAAGACTTGTGGAATGTTTTAATAATGTTGCAAATATCTTCAATGCTGGTAGTACCATTTTCATCTTGAGAAATAGAAGTTGTTCGTACTGGGTCCACTAGATGATTATCCTCAAAGAAACTACATGGACTATTATTGTTATTATTGTAACTGTTAGAGCTTGATTGGACATTTGAATGTGAGCTACTATTCGTTTTGCAATGATTTTCTAAAATAAATGGTTCATAAAAACTAACAGGTGGAGCTTGTTCTCCAAGAGCTAGTTTGGCAATGTTGTACCTGTCTTCTGTAGTTATTGGTGGAAAGTATTGTGTTTTAACCTCGAAAAATTTGTATATGGCACATTGGTGCTTGCAAAACTTTCCCTCAATACCCTGAAAATAGGAACAGCATCCATTTTTAACATTTACAACATAATTAATATTTTTATTTTTTTCACTAGGCACTATATAATTGTTTTCATCTAAATAAATTATATCAGATTTCTCGAGATAATTGGTCTTTTGCATTATATTTAGAAAATAGCATCTAGCATTTGAAGATCTACTATTTGCAAATTCTCTTAATTTTCGTTTATAAAATTCTTCGAGTACCGAGCTTATCACATCTATCAAGGCTACCACATTATATGCTTTCACTCTACATAAAACATTGTCTTTGAAAAGTCTAATTGATATTTCACAAAAATTATTTGTGTAATGACCCCTCGAGTCCTCATTCCGCCATGCTAAACACCACTTTTCTTTAACATTCCAATGACTTTGAACATACTTTATCCAGTTTTCATATTTGCATTTGGAAATGCAATTAAGGAAGCCTTGCTCTGCATCAACAGGTGTTCGAGAATATAATATTGCCCGAAAACTTTTCATTAACTCCTGACGGTGCTCTTTATCAATGGCATGTTTGGAATCCCATAGCCATCTCCAGACTGCTTGTAGAACATGAAAGATACACAGTAAGGTTATACTATGAGGGAATACCGACTTAATAGCTAAAATTTCCGCCTCTGAATTGTCAGTTAAAAAAATGTGTGGATGGAAAGTATTTGAAACGATGTCCTGTAAAAGCTGAAAGCCTTTGGAGTATGCTTCATAAGTCTGGCCTCTGGTAATTATTATGCCCAGGGGAACTGCTCCAGCTGCACATGGAGCCATAACAAATGTTACAGAGTGTTGTTCTGAATCACAAGCACTTGTACTGTCTACAAAACACACCTCATCCGAAAATTGTGCTGCATGACCTCTGGCCATAATTGGGGTAACTATTGCAACTGCCTCGGAAAATAATACTTCAGTGCCCTTTTCTTTATATGCGGCTTGTTTTTCTTTGATTTTCTGAAATAATAAATTAGTAAATTCCTGCTTTAGTGGATAACAAATTCACAACAGATAACTTTTACTATGAAATTTAATTTATGAACACACAAAATATGTGTGTTCACAAATTAAATTTCATAGTAAAAGTTGTCTGTTAACAATATATCGCAATTTGCTAAAATAAAGATGCTTGATGCTGCTAAAGATGCTGATATTTGAAATGGAAAAAATAAGAGCTTTTAAAGAATTTATATAAATAGATCATTCCATTAAAAAAAAACATTTTTTCTGTCACAATCCTCTAACGACATGTATATAATTAACTTTCCAAAAATTCCCCGAAAAAAAAAAAGATTTTTTAATCGAAAAGCTTGGGGGTGTTCACTTTATGCTGGATAACCCTGTACATCAACCTATCATCAAAAATATTTAATATTTACAAAAGGCCTTTAATATTACAAAAGGCCTCTATACAGAATCAAATTCTGAGCAACTTTTTTCTTAATATTTTTAATTTTAGAGTAAAAAAAAATAATTTTGCAACAGCTCCAAAAGCAATGAATAAAAAATAGATACCTACATCTAATAATCCTTTCCCTGTTCTGGGTCCTAAATTTGTAGTTCTCCATGCATGGTACCAGTTCTGAACTGTCGAATAGGTAGGGTTTTTACTGCCATTAGCAAGGATCATTTCCTTATCTGGTTCAAATTCATATAAGTTCTCATGATATTTCTTTCCTTCTGAAATTGTCATCCTGTCATTGAAATATTCAAAAAATAAGTCTTGTGTTTCTGATGGTGCTTGTAAAAAACGAAGGGTTTCTGCAGTTTCAAGTGTATGACTATGAAGTGTATCTATGGTTATTACTGCTTGTAACCTATTCAAACCCTGAAATAATTCATTTCATAAATATAATATACCTACTTCACAAAGCATGTGGTTAGAGTGCATATATATATATATATATATATATATATAGATGTTCAGAATATCGAATATACAAAATGTCGAAATGAAAATATCGAAATTTCATTTAATCGAATGTTTCATTTATCGACTTACAAGTTTCGATATTTGATTTCGATATTTTAAATGTCCATATTATTTTTATCAATATTTTCTCTTTTGTCACTTTCTTATTTTAAATTTGATTGTGTTAAAATATTATCAATTTGCTGTTGTTATTGATTTACCTGCGAATATTTATTATTGGTTTGATTTCTCTTCGATATAAAAAGCTTATTATCTTGTTAATAAAATAATAAATAAGTAAATAAATTACCTTTATAAATGGATCCTTTTTTCGTGTATTTACAGTATCTAATTTTACAACAATAAGTATGGATGCATGGCAGTTGGCATTTTTTGAAAGACCTTTCCTATTTGCCTTTGCAGGAACCTTCATGAATGCACTGTGATGACACACAAATTTCTTTCTAAAAAAATTTACCATTAGCAAGTTTGTTGACAACATAGGGGTTGGCCATGAAGGGAGATCATTTGGCCCACTAACCCCAATATCTAAATATATCTCTTATATAAATAGTGATTGTGAGAATATAAAATAATATAATATAAAATAACATTACTTACGAACAAACTATTTTTGTGCCAACAGGACATGATGATCTTGCATTCCATTGTGTGTTGGTATTTTTCCCAAATACTTTGACCCAAAGATTAATGTCTTCCATTGTTTTTACACTGCTACGCACCAAAACTTTATTTTGTAGGCCTTCTTCAGTACATAGTACATTACTAAATTCACTTGGGAGACAACTGTCATTAATCACTTGCACAAACATTGTTAAAAATCATGTTTTCTTTGTATCATGGTTAAAAATCTAAGTTTGCACTAGATCGAAAAAATTATAGAACAATTTAGCAGTCTATGGCTAAAACTAAAACCATAGAACAGACTAAATGAGGTTAGCTGAAAATCAGCTGTTAATAAATTGATGTTTCGATGGTTGCCTACGATGTGAAGTCATCTACAATGGTACAAATAACCAATAGGAGAGGCGGATATTCATATAGTGCCATAGGTCTGTAAGGGATCTTAAAATGCACACGGGAGGATAAAGCAGCGACCTTGTACCCAGAGAGTTGCATTTGAAGTACTTCGTCTTCTTTAAACCTATATTCAGTAACACACACTATATCGATATTTTTGTCAGCCAGAAATGCTTCCAGCTCATTAATCTTGTATTTCAAAGATCTAGCATTTATATGAAATAAAGTTACACTTCGGGTTTCTCTTCTGCCTCCTTCACTAGCGGTTTTGAAATCCCCTTTATTCGGCTCTGCAGGATTAAAAAATGATTTATTATTATACCTTTTGGCCAGATATCTGGTTTTAAGTATTCTTCGCGTTTAGTTGACAGAACAGCTACTTTGAACGAACTTCTATATTTATCCTTTTTGGTTTTCATTTTTTCGCAGGAGCAGTTATATTCAAATTTTTTTGTAGTATCCAATTATATTATCCGGTTTGACTTCAGGAGCATACCCTGAGATAAACAAAAATGATTTCTTTGGTCCCACTTTTAATAACTCGTTATTTTCATTGAGCCCTCTTAATGGTTAGGGGCGGTTTCTGATTTTCTTGAACGAACTTCTATATTTATCCTTTTTGGTTTTCATTTTTTCGCAGGAGCAGTTATATTCAAATTTTTTTGTAGTATCCAATTATATTATCCGGTTTGACTTCAGGAGCATACCCTGAGATAAACAAAAATGATTTCTTTGGTCCCACTTTTAATAACTCGTTATTTTCATTGAGCCCTCTTAATGGTTAGGGGCGGTTTCTGATTTTCTTGACAACTTGCGTCCATAGTTGTTTATCAGAGCCATCTTCAGCTGGTTCAACTGCAGCTACGCTATTGTTTTCAGTTAGTAGTTCACATGAACCGCTTGGAGTAGCGTTGTTTACTTTAACCTCAGTTGTAGAGGAAGAAAAATCATTTTGAACTTTGGACTTGTAATTTGTTGCTTTACGTGTAGCATTGTTTACATTTTTTGTACTGGTTTTCGACTAATAATTTATTCTTACTTTCAAGTTCGAAGATAATTTTATTCTCTCATGACTTAGTTGATTTTTGTCATCCTGACTGGTCATGCTTTCATCTTCACTGGAATGCAGACAACTAGCACTTTTTGTTGCAGCACTTTGCTTCATAAATCCTGGATGGAAGTAATCAAGACACTTTAAACATTTTACTGAGTTCACTACATTTCTTTTACAGTGTTTGCACAAAACATTTTCACGATCGCGAGTTGGAACGTCTCCGTCACCCGCCGCCATCTTAATTGATTGATTGAATGTTTTAATGACGTGAGGATTGTCATCTAACAGGCGACTTATTCTGTCCATGATATCGAGCAGGGGATGAGACGTGTAACTTGCCAATTTAACAGTGAATTTAGACCCTAACCACTTTCTATGATTTAACAAAGGCAACTCCGAACACTCCGCCAGAAGCACATTTTTGGGGGTCGACCTCATACATTCAGTAATAATTCTCAATGCTTGGTATTGAGCTTTATCAAGTTTGCATAGTTGTGCTTTATTAGCGTTAAATATTAAAATGCCACCAAAATCAAGATGGGATTTGACTAGACCGTTATAAGCCATGAGGAGTGTAGCTGGGTCTGCTCCCCATGAGACTCTGGCTAAGGCTCGGAGAGGGTTGCAGCCACTTTGTGCTTTATTTAATGCCTGATTGATATGGTGGTTCCATTTAAGGTGACTATCAAAAATTACTCCCAGGTACCTTACTTTATTTTTTAACATGATATTTTTATTGTTAATCTTAACCGCCGGGGGTGTGTTTCTTTAGGGTCCCTTCGAGAACCAGTATATTTTCCAGTACCCTATTTATCTTGTCTGTCATTATGCTGATATCGCTTCCCCCAACCGAAACCAGAGGTCATCCGCAAAAGCTAAGAGTCTGACATCCCCTTCCACGCAATCGAAAATGGATTTCAAATAGATATTAAATAGAAGAGGGCTCAAGGGTGATCCATGTCCCAGACCATAATTGATACGTTCCCTCCCATTGATATTTCCTTGTTTATCCCTTACCGATGTAACCTCAACTCGAGGGCTATGGCTAACGGCAGCTTTACAGTGGTGAGATGGGTCGATGGGCAAATGTTGTTTCTTAATACTTACGTGTTTTTACTAACATAAATCCAAAATTGGGCGCCAGTGTCTTATTATGGCCAGTTGTTGAAATCTAAGTAAGCCAGACACAATCTTACTAGAGATTAAGGGTGGTTATTAAAAGTCAAGTTTATGAAAAAATAAATCAGTTATATTTGTTCACCGATGTTGAAATGATCACTTTGCATGTATTAATAAATGTTTGTAATAATAAATGTTTGATCTGTAATTTTGGGGCACCCTTATATGGCCATATATGGTTTACAAAAACCAAAGTCTGATGGACTAAATTAACTGATAAAGTATTGTTGATGATACAAAAAAAATATACTTAAAATAACTATGATGAACGCAACTCAAAAGTACACAAACTATAAGGAGTGTAGTGTACGTGGACATTAATATTTAAAATTGGTACGACCTGTTCGTAGTTGGGGCCCTGGTAGACTGTGTCTCCGAATGGGTTGGCTTCCGATGTTGAAGTCTCCTACCATGTCAGATTATACAGGATGGCTTTTAAGTAACGTAAGAACTTGCCATTATCCAAAACAAGTTCAGGGTAAAAAACCATTCCTTTATAACAAATCTGACATAAAAAGTCTTACAAAAAACTCCAACATAAAAACCCTAAAAAAAAATATGGTATGATGCCCAAGCATCTAAAAAACTATAAACCGCCTAACTTACCCTTGTTTAAAGGAGTTTTTATAACTGTATAACGTCAGGACTGGATAAAGACCAAAAATGAGGAAATAACACAACCCTAAAATGGAGAACCGCGTGGGTAAAACATTTAATTTCAGCAACAGGTCAAAAACTCACCCAGAGCTCATCGTACCATACGAAAATTGTTTTGGTCGGAATTATACCATTAGATTGAGAGATTTACCACGTATTTTTGGAAATTTTCCATAATTTAAGCACAAACTTAACTCTCATCTAATCGCTTTAACGACCAAATCGAAAAGGAAAACGTAAACCTTATTGAGTGCGTAGAAGATTATTTCAACAAAAAAAAACACAATGTTGCCTATGTTAACGAACATTTTTTAAAAAGAATTCCCACAAAGTCTACCAGAACCTAAGCCTCAAACACAAATATTCCTTTAGTAAACCCCAGTAACATACCCAAAGATCCAAATATATACCCCCCTAAACGCAATTATTTGGAAAATTCCCTTCACTGACACTAAATTGTCAATAACGGCAAACCAGCCATCAAAATGAATATATTAATTATAATAATTATCATTATAACTACATACAACCAACCTCACACGGAAGTGTTTGTGTTGCATACTATCAAATTACTGTTTTTGAATAAAATTAAAAGAAATGGCTTAAAAAGAGTTTTAAATACCGGCAATGCTATTCATGTGTCAGTAAAAGGAATTCCAATCAAACCAATAGATTTTCTTGGAAAGAGGCATTTACACAACTAAACAAATTTCCTTTTTAACAATAGTTAAACTTAAAATAAATCAATTAAATGGTTCACATCTAAACCGTTCTAGATGTAAAAAAAACTAATAAAATAAAATAAATGTGTAACTGTCAAAATGACGGTTACACCGAGATAATCCTATTGGTTATAATGTTGTAAATTATGTTGCAGTAATGTAATGGAATGTTAAGTTCCTTGCAATAGTTGTAAAGAATTGACGGATCCACGTTATCATCCGCAGCCTTGATGTCCAACAGGACCGCTAGGACTAATTGATTCTTAGTGAAAGCCAAGTGGACTTGAGAAGGCCGTATTTTCTAGAAATCATTCTATTTTGATTTTAATAAGACCTTCCGGGAGCCTTAAAGGTACCGGTGTAAGGCTTATAGGTCTGTAGTTGTTATGGTTAGCTGCGTTTAAGTATAGGCAATACCTACTACGAGATCCAGCCATTTATTTGGGAATTTTTGTTTTGAAATACAGTCGTTAAATATATTGACCAGGTTTGATAGCGCCGTTTCTGGAAGGTTTTTAATCATGGAGAACGAGATCTAATTTATGCCGGGCGCTGTGTCTTTCTTTTTGTTGTGGAGAATCTTTTTAGTCCATTAATAGTGATCCTTGCAGGATTTTATGTGTTAGTGTTATATTAATTTCTGGGTTTAGATTAATTATTTGACAAAATCCGAATCCATACTGCCCAACTATGGAGAAAGGCAGTAACTGCTAAATCTGTGGAAAATTGTCATAAACTAAATTTTTATAAAGAGCAGTAGATATTTAATTGATTTATTTAACTTATAAGATAGTTTACTGCATTTCTTAGTTGAATTAAGATACAAAATGTCCATAACTTTATCATAGCACAAGAAAACGTACTAAGAATTTTTTTGTAGTTACTGCCTTTCTCCATAGTAGGGCACCATAGCAGTATCAGGGATTGCTTTATTCGTAGATATGGATGTATTAAAAAACTTTTTTATAACATTCCATACATAAGCAGTGTCTGTTTCTCTGTTGAGAGAGGCACAGAAGTTTTTAAACTTATTTCTATTAATTTTATTTAAATCTCGTTTAGTTTTTGTAATTATTTTTTTAACTTCAATGAAGTTTTCTAAATTAAAGTTTTGTATGAACTTTTTAATGGTGTTTTTTCTAGTCCGGATCAAACGTGTACACTCCTTTAGGGATGTGAATGTACGCAGCAGTTTGAATAATGTTCTCAAATACTACATATTATATGTCTGGGTCAAACTCATTTTGGATGGTATTTTTATAATTATCCCAGTCTGCTTTTTTATAATTTCTGGTTATTTTGTTGGTAAGATTATTGCTTATTTGGTTGTTTGTGGAGTATGACAGGACAGTGGGAAAGTGGTCACTTAACCCGCTGTCTAAAATTTTACTCCATTGGGCATAGGGGCTCTTGGCTGCTGATATTAAATCTAGGTCTACAGGGCTCGGGTTGTTTCCCGGTTTTGTAAGTCTAGTTGTGGAACCGTCGTTCATGACTACCAGATAGTTATCGTTGACAAATTCAAAAATTACCCTACATCCAAACAAAGCAAAGCTTATGACAAAGTTTTTAATACAGCAATCGACTTTAGTAGTTTTCGTGCATTATTGCCATTAAATTTGCCATAATGGTCAAAGCAGATTCCAGCACTTTTCACCCATGCCTCCCAAATTCTAGATATTTGCTGTTTAGGGAATCAAAAAGTTTTTGTACAATGCCCAGCATAAGGTGGTGGAATAAAGAACAAAACTGGGACATTTTGAACATTTGAACTCGAACAAAAACGTCTACATGTAAAAAACATCGATAAAAACTCGAAGCAAATCCGGGCGCAATTTACAAGTTTTAACCACAGAATTAAAAATAATAAGCAACAAATTGTAAACCCAGGCATGTTCAATAGTCGGTATATATAGGCAAAAGAGGGTTAGTTTTAATACGAATCTCACTTATAGTTGGCGGCTACTTTTAACAAAAAGAAATAGTGTTTTTATGCGAGGTCAAATATCAGTGGTCTAAACTATACAAACCTATTTCAATAAAAAATTGATATATTATTGACAAAATTATAAAAAACTAAGAAAGAAAAAGTTTCTTTTTCATGCATTTTTTATTACCTACTAAAGAAATAAATTATAATTCATATTTTAAATATACCCAAAAAACTGAAATATACCCAAAAAACTGAAAGTATAAAAAAACAGTTTTTTGAAAAAAAAATTGACAGATCTACATGGAAGATTTTCATTTTACTTTTTTTTGAATACTTAGTTGGTAAGTATTTTTTTTAAAAATGTTTCAAAGTTCTATTTTTTTCGTTAAAAACGGTGTTCGGTGAACCGTGCCTTATCTTTGCTCAAATAGATAGTAGCGTCTAAGTTATCATTATCCTTGTTAGATTTGTCTGGGTTCGTGGTTGATAGATCCGTATTTGTCGGATCCCCGCCCGTCAACCCATGTGTCTCGTCAGCCATATTTGGTATGGAGAGGAATATCTCGTCTGATAAAAACGTTTAAAAGCACGTACCAGATCTTTACCTTGCAATACTGGGTAGAATATATATTTTGTTGATATTGGTAATATTTAGCTTTAAGTGCATGGATGTTTAAAGCGCACCTGTTGTCACTACGAGTTTTGCAGCGGAAGTGTACCACCCTTTTATTGTCATCTTTATTTTTACTGCCTGATGGACATCAATATTACCAACCGTTTAATTAATTAACGCTATTATTAAAATGCAAATCAATTGTAGCAAGATGTATATGTATTAGGCCGGATCGAAAAAATATTTTTTTCGAATTTGGTTTGGCGGTAGGTGGGAAAAGTTGCCCACACTCACGCAAAACATGATGCAAAAAAAATTGTTGTGTGCGACATCGGCTTCCGCTTGCACATTGCGGTCAAACTTTCATGATTGTAGGTATATTTTCCAGTTTTATCCGAGGTACAATCTGTCGCCGATATTCAATTTCGATTTTATTTTCATGTTAAAGTGTGGTGAAAGTGACATTACCGTCCATTTATCATCCGTTGTAGCTGAACATGACGTCAAAGTCAGTTAAATGCAACATAAATATACATTTTAGGGTATTTGATTTTAGTCAAGTATCACTAATTCCAACGGCGGAAAAGTCTTGCCAGAGTTGCCAGAGGAGTGGGGAGAGTTGGGGAATGGCCTTGTATCTTCCCTACCCCTGGACTGCTCATGTGGAGGTGACTGCAAATCGAGTTTCACCCATGCCCACCCAACCACATGTAGGCAATGCACTCTGGACATGGTAATTTATAAAAACCTGAAGTCTTCTTTTGTTTCAAATAATGGCATTACATGCCGATCAGCCAGCCAATGCAGAAAACTGTAAGTGAAATTAAAAATAAGAAACCTACATTACCTGCAAATATAAAGTTGGCAACAGTGGTTCAAAGTAGTTCCAACGCATTAAATCATAAAAAGGAAGAAGAAAAAGACAAAACAAATGTCAACACAAACAAACAAATAGCTGAAAATGTTAAAACATTATTTAAAGAAAATCAAGGAAATAGCTCCGAAAATTGGCAAACGGTATTAAAAAATAAGCCAAAAAACCGAAGAGATTTGGCACTGGTGAAGATATGAATACGTTTTCAGGTATTAAGGGGAAAGTATGGTTATATATAGTAGGGTGGAGCAAAAAAGATTTTTTTTTCCTTAGGGGGTGGAATTATTAGCCTATAAAAAAATAAAATTTTTGAAAATAAAAAAAAAATTTACTCAACGTCTTGAGGTGGCCCACTGATTTTTTAAATTAAATTTAAGTTAAAATTTTTTTGGCTTGTAATCTTCAAATTTATCTAAAAATAAACAAATTTGATCGTGTTCAACTCGAAATTCGCTCTATTGCCTCAGAAAAGCATGTTACTATTTTGGAATTTTTTTAAAAACAACAATAATGACCACAAAATTTTTTTTAAGTTCATAACTGTTAATTATCAAGAAAGAGGACACTCCGCAGTTTTGAAAAAAAAAAATTATTCAAAAGAATTTTAACTTAAATTTAATTTAAAAAATCAGTGGGCCACCTCATTTTTTTTTCAAAAAATTTCTTTTTTTATAGGCTACAAATTCCACCCCCGGGCTAAAAATTTTTCGCTCCACCCTAATATATAGACAGAGTAAATAAAAACGCCAAAGCAGAAGAAATAAAGGAATACATTGAAAAAAGACTGAGTTTGAAAATGAAGACATCGAAGTATTGGAGTTGGAAAGTAAATCAAAGTTTAGTAAATGCTTTCTTGTTACTGGCCCTCCCTCTAAAAAGGATATTATGTATGAACCAAGTTTTTGGCCAAATAATATAGGTATCAAGCGTTTCAAGTTTGAGAAACACCAGGAATTTCGTGCCTCAGAGAAGCAAAAATAAAGTCATATCTGCAGAAAAATGTCTTAAAGATCATTAATGTCTTATTTACATGATTTCTACAACTATGTGCTTACAGAAAATGCTGACATTACAGGAGTTACAGAAACATGGCTTCAGGCTGATATTTCAGATAAATATCTTTACATTCCAGGATATACCCTATAACCTATATACCTTTAAATTAAACAAATCAAATTAGTTTACGTAAAACCAATATAAAATAAACAAAAACCATATCAAATTATTCAGTAGTGTTATAAGCAACAATAATACCTACAAAACCAGGTAAACAACATGACAAATAAGAAGAAAACAGCCAAAAAGAAGTCGCCCACATGTGTGATATGTGAGAAAAATCTGGGCAAAACCAAGATTCAACTACAATGTAAAAACTGCAAAAAATGGGCTCATCAAGAGTGCACAGGCGTGAAAAACAACTGTACGTTTGCCAAATGTGAAGATAAAGCGTCATGCAGTGAAGATGATACAGACTCTGAAAAAGAAGCCAATGACAGCTCTGACACCAAACCTGAGGCTACAATACAAAATAAAAATAATAAAAAAAATCCAATGCCCCGCAAAGAATATACATTAAAAGATGTGATGAAAAAGCTAGAAAAAATAGAAATCAAACACAACGAGCTCCTTAATAAATGTCAAGAAGTTTTAGATGAAAATACAATGCTAAAAGAAGAAATCAAGAACATTAAAGCCAAACAAAAACTACTAGAAAAACAAACAGCTAACAGCATTACTGAAACAATACTACAAAAAGCTGATAACAAGGATCGGAGACGAATGTAACTTCAAAATAGAGGAAAGTGAGATAGCTCTTGTACATAACATTAGCAGAGATGCAACCAAAACAGTGTTAAGAGTGCAATTTAACAATATTGAAGTAAAGCAAAATCTATTGACAGCATACAAGTCAAAAAGAGGCCTGACACGCCAACATATTGGCCAAAAGGGATCAGAAATAATATACAAGGTGTCCCTTAACTTATTGGCATAAATTTAGGAAAAGATTGAGCAAGTCAAAATAAGACGAAAATCTAAATAAATATTTTTCCTAATTACTTATGTTTCCAAGATACAGGGTGATAAAGTGTTACCCTGCTTAAAATACCCCATAGAGACCCTGTTCAAACCGATAGATATTTGTATCGGGATGTATGGTGTTTCTATAGGGTGTATCGGTTTGTATAGGACCCGTAGTTGAGATTTATGGTTGTTCTATAGGGATATCCACCATTGATTTATTTGCTATCGGTTTCAATGGGGAAAATACACATAAATGTAGAAATTAGTTTTTTCCCTATAGGACCCTATAGGTTTTAATAAAATTTTGTCAAATGTTTTATGGTTGCTCTATAGGGATATCCCTATATATCCTTCATTGAGTTATTTTCTATCGGTCTCAATAGGGAAAATGTAAAAGTTATGGTGTGCCTATAGGTAATTTCCTATACATTTTCTATCGGGCTGTATCCGGAAAAACCCATGGACAAATGCACATATAGAATCCGGTAGCGCCCGATAGATTATTTTGTATAGGTCTCTATGGGGTATTTTAAGCAGGGTACCTATCATATCAGTTTTTTTAATATAACTTCTACTATGGTAGTCTTGGAAACGTGATATTTTGCGAACTGTCACTTACTACCAAAACACATATTCACACATAATTACAATTGTTTGAGTGAACACAGTGTCGTAGAAACGAGGGTTGCTTTAAGCTTATTGTCCCATACAAACTTTGAGGTTAGGTTTTTGTAACATTTGATACAATTTTTCGATTACACAGCTCGTCTACCATTAAAAAGGTGTACCTCTCAAACTTCGATAAAATAAACCGTTTCCGAGATATTTGAGATTACAATAATTGTTATATCGCATTATTTAAAAGGATTAAAAGGTATATGATAACAAATTTTATTTTTTTATTGAAAAAACTAAAAAGGGCATTCCATGAGCCTCGGGACTTTTTGCCCTGACCGTCACATTAAAAAAAATTGTAGTTTTTCCAATTAAAAAATTTGTTATCATATACCTTTTAGTCCTTTAATGCGATATAACAATTATTGTAATCTCGGATATCTCGGAAACGGTTTATTTTATCGAAGTTTGAGAGGTACACCTTTTTAATAGTAGCCGAACTGAGTAATCGAAAAATTGCATCAAATGGTATAAAAACCTAACCTCAAAGTTTGTATGGGACAATAAGCTTAAGCAACCCCTGTTTCTACGACACTGCGTTCACTCGAACAATTGTAATTATGTGTGAATATGTGTTTTGGTAGTAAGTGACTGTTCGCAAAATATCACCTTTCCAAGTCTACCATAGTGGAAGTTATATTAAAAAAACTGAGATGATCAGTAACACTTTATCACCCTGTATCTTGGAAACATAAGTAATTAGGAAAAATATTTATTTAGGTTTTCGTCTTATTTTTACTTGCTCAATATTTTCCTAAATTTATGCCAATAAGTTTAGGGACACCTTGTATATAAATAATGATATGACACAAGAAAATCAAATGCTTTTCAAGAAAGCAAGAGATCTCAAAAAAGAATTAAATTTCAAATTTACATGGTTTAACCACAACAAAATAATGATGCGAAAAGACGAAGAGAGTAAAACTTTTGAAGTAGATAGTGAGGACTCCCTGGACAAAATCAAGAAAAAATTTCAAAAGGAAACAAAAAACTAAAAATACTTTATTTTAATATAAGAAGCCTGTTAAATAAACTGGATGAACTAAAACTAATTGTTAGTGAGAAAAAAACACACATCTTAATACTAGTCGAAACATGTCTTAACGACAACTTAACTAAATATTTTCAAACTATACCAGTGTTCCTGCAGAAAATCTAAAGTAGGTGGAGCGGCCATTTATGTACATAGAGACTTATCCTATAATACAGGGTGTTATGTAATTAATGTTATATATTAAAATACTGAATACCTTTTGACATAAGGAATAAAGGAAAAATATTTAAAAAAACATTTTTCCAAAGATAAAGAAAAAATATGCATTAGAAGTTTTTTATATTTTTTGTGATACGCCACTGGTTACACACTTGTTTATCTCTGCACACCTGTATTTTGTGAGTACATAGATACCAACCAACAAAGTAGCTATGCGTTGCCAGATGTAAAAAATTGTTACTAAAAATTTTTCTTGCAAAAAATAAATAAAAACTCAATAAATACAAAAGTTTTATGCCCTTAAAGCTCTAATACCCTTCTGTATTTATTTACTGATCCAGCTATTAGCTTAAGCAATGATTAGAAAATTTAGTACCTTTGATATTTGAAATCCATAACCACAAAATTAATTTTTTCATCAGTTTTTTTCTCTGTTTACTCATATGAAATTGGGACCAGTTCACAGGTTAAACTTTAAACATTTAATTTGTGTAAATAAATCCAAAAGCACTTTCCTTAGTTAAGATATTTACAATTTGAAAACATAACCTAAAATTTAAAAGAAATGCACTAGATTCTGTCATAAAAGTTGGCAGATTTTGTTTGAATTTACCTTCAGTACAAAAATGAAATAACCAACAATTAATAAAAACGCCAAATTGACAATTTGCATTGTTAATTTTGTCATTTTTGTAATTAAGCTAAATTTAAACAATGTTTGTCAACTTTTTTGAGAGATTTTGGAAACAATGTTGTTACCAACCATAACATAATAAATCCACCAGATTAACCTAAAGTTCCTAGTCGACCAGTTGCGTACTTTTTGGTAGGATAAAGGTTATTATAAATTATTTTTAGACTTTGGAATTTAGAAAAAAAAAGTTTCAGGTGCTTCTTTATGGACCCTAAGGAACAACCCATTTTAATATATAACATTAATTACATAACACCCTGTATAACTATATGTTATAATCAAAAAAGTGCAAATAAAGTGATAAAACTTAATCTAAAAGACTGTGATATAAATATATGCGCAATATACAAACAAAATAAAAGTGACAGTGAGTTATTCCACAATTATCTAGAATCAATGTGAACCTTCTTAATAAAGCAAATAAACGAGTAAAAGAATATAAAAACTTACTAAAAAGTACCAATATAAAAATAATAAACAAAATTGACAAAAATAACATAACCAGAATAAATTCAAAAGGAAAAGACACTATAATAGACCATGTGCTTACAAACATTGATACAAAAAATTTTTCCAAACTAAAGTTAATAGATACATCTTTAATTGATCATAAATGCATAGAATTTGAATTACAAACAAAACTAAGGAACAAAAATATAAAGAAAACGTATACACACTGAATAACTGATCTAGAAAAATTAAAAATAAATCTAAAAAAAAACACTAGAAGAAACAGAAATAAAAACTTTTAAACTTATACAAGAAAAAATTGAAAAAATATACCTAGAGACTACAAGAATAAAAACGAAATCTTATGCACCTACTCTCAAAAAAGGATGGATGACTCACATAGTCTATAAAAAAAATTAAAGAACGCAACAAGATGTATGTCAAAATGGTAAAAAACAAGGACACAAATCATTTCAAACAACAATTTAAAAATATAGATAAAGAAACAAAACTTATTATAAAAAAAACAAAAGTTGAATATTACAAAAATAAATTAGACAGTGCAGAAGGTAATAGTAAAAAACTCTGGCAAATAATAAAAACCCTTGAAACGGAAGAAAATTTAGAAGCAAACGATTTGAAAGAAATAAAAACTGCAGATGGAATAAAAACAACATGTAAGAAAAAAATAACAACCACATTAAACAATTATTTTACAAAAATAGGTGAAAAGCTAGCCAGAGAAATAAAAAGGGAAACACTCAGAAATGAAAAAAGCTATGTTACATCAGCATCAATTTATCTAAGACCAACAAATGCAAAGGAGATAAATACAATAATAAATAATCTAAAGAAAAATTCCGCTGCTGGATATGATAATATAAAACCCAAATTAGTAAAAGAAATAAAAAATATTATAATACCCACTCTCTCAAAACTAATCAATAATCACCTCAAATCTGGGATATTTCCAGAAGAGCTAAAAATTGCACGCATTACTCCAATATACAAGGGCGAAAAGAAAACTGAACCGTGTAACTACAGGCCTATTGCGAATCTCACAGTTTTTAGTAAAATTTTCGAGACAGTACTACATATTAGACTATCATCCCATATACAAGGCTTAAATTTACTATTTAAAGCACAGCATGGTTTCCAAAAACGTAAAAGTACAACAACAGCCATGATAAATCTCTTAAATTTTATACAAAGTAAAATGGATGAAAGAAAATGTGTTACTGGACTGATTTTGGATTTTAGAAAGGCTTTCGACACGGCAGATCCGCACATACTTGTAAAAAAGCCTAAAAAAATGGGACTGAAAGAAAAAGCAATTGATATCTTTAAATCTTACTTAACTGAAAGAAAACAATATACAAGAGTAGGTGATGAAGTTAGTGACAAAGAGGATATATACTATGGAGTGCCACAGGGTTCCATCTTGGGTCCTTATCTATGTTTATTATATATAAATGATCTTCAGTTTTATACATTTTATGGAAAAATGATGATCTATGCGGACGACGCGGCTCTTTTCTATGAAAACACAAATGACAAGAAAACAGAACACCAACTACAAAGAGACATAGACAAATTGTTAAAATGGACTAATACAAACAAATTAACTTTAAATAGTGCAAAATGTCACATAATAAACTTTGAAAGTAAAACAAAAAAACACAACATAAGAATCACTATAAATTCAGAGAAAATTATAGAAGAAGAAAAAAA